TTTCGATGAAATTTATTTCCTGGGTCGGACCAAATGTTTGTATGACTGCAAATATTTGTTTCTGAGTTTGGGTGTTTTCTATGTAGAATATAGATGTATTTACAAAAAAAAAGTATATAAGTATTCTAGCAGTCAATCTAGCTTTCATAGTACAGCTCTGCTTGATTTGAAGCTAGATGGCGTTGTGTCAAATGTCCGAAATATATTAAAAAAACCTTAGAATTTGAAAAGATAAAAAATTGAGATAGAATCTTCTTCCGTCTTAATTCGCTGAAAATAATAATTTTAGTGTCAGGACATGTTTCGGTATAAAATCCGGTCAAAAAAAAAATGGTCCGGATAGATCGGCCTGGTACAACAGCCTTACAGAAAATAAGTGGTAAATAATTTGTTCATTATTTTGCACCGAATGAGTGAGGTCACCGGCGCCCTTCACCCTGATTCTGGGGAGAAAGGCGGATTCAAAGGGCGGCAACATATTCTGTGACTCCTGAGTTGCCATGTCATTGAGTTGTCATCGAGTTGCCACCTCAAAAGTGGTTCAACATCCAGACAAACCTATTAAGATATTTAAAGTGAAAACTTTTTTGAAACTAATTTATTAAATATCAACCTTTCCCGTTCACTGTATAAATAGAACTAGCATGCACAAAATTCAAATGTGGTCCCTCAAAGGGAACGGAGACCGGGTGAATTTCACTTAAAAGGAAACAAGATTTTGTTATTATTACAAACCAGTTCGTGACTAGATCAAAATAAAGATTTATACGCGAAATAGACACAATTTATTTTATTTTATTACAATAAAACCAATAATTCTCACTGAGTCTGGTACTCACACTATTACTCTTATATTATTTACACTTGATTCCTCGCTGTATTGTAAAACTATTCTAGTTTTACCTAGTCTCCACACCAGATTACATAAAGCGTTTATAATCCGATCTTGTAATAGAAAATTCCAGAATATTCATAGACTTGTAATAGTCCGACTGCCACAATTATGAAAAGTTCTAGAACATCATAGAACATTCTGAAAGCTTTTCGAGAGTATTCGATTAGTTCTACTACTTGATGACAAATGGCGCCATACTATTCAATTACTAAACCGCAAACATATTAATTTCTACAGTACTACTTATGTTATCATATTTCACTCACGCATGTGAGGTCCGTTACTTACTGTTTACTATTAGTCTTCTTTCAGAACGAGATGTCTTAACACGAGAGAAAACAACGACAAGGTTGCCCATTAATTTCTGTGTAGGCTTTCTTTTTTTTATTTATATATACCGTAACAAGTTTCCTGGATGGTTGCCGTCTATGTTATCGCAGTGTCATCGCAACGGGCCCCAAGTGACTTATTTAATCGTTCAATCTATCTTGTTTACTCTTTTTAAATCGGTAATCTACATAATTTGTAGGCTAGTAAACACAGTATGGGTTAAGTTTGAAAATAATTAATATTATCTGTTATTACTAACTTGCTTTGCGTGTGTAAACTGTGAATGTGGAACTAAAAAACAAAACACTTAAAAATAACAATATATAGGATTTAAAAAGAAAATAATTAAATATATTTTCAGTTGAATTGTTGTTTGGTTTCCTACTATTAGGGACAAGTTCTATTGTTTAGTAAAGATAATTAAAATATATAATATGTTATATATATACGTTCATTCTTATATTATTACATTGAATGTATAAATGTCTATGTATGCCTAGTATAAATGTAGGTTAGCCTATTTATGTAACCAATGTTCTTTAGTCATTTGTCTCGTTATTTTCAAATATATACCTGTCACACACAGCTCTGCATTATCCAAAGGTCGACAGAAAGAAAATGCCAACGGCATGGCCACCGTCTTGTGCAATGTATTTGAAGGAAGTATAAATAAATGCCCCCCAAATTCATTGGGTGATGTTTTGAAGAGGGAGGAAGGAATAGAGAGAAGCTCTTTTTAAATGAATAGAGGGTGCAACTTAAATATACTGTATTTATTGACATAAGCACATACCTATTTTTTTTCTGCACTTCTTGTGCATAAACTTGAAGTATATTAAGTTTTAGTTCTGTGCAAAAAGCTTACATTTTAAACAATGCACACAATACAACAACACTTTTTCATACTCTTTACGTATGTACATAGTTTCTTGATAAAAGCCAAGCTATTGACATTGTGACGCTCGTGTATGAAGGAGGTCACATATACAATATAATAAGAATAATAATAACGTTAATCATCTCACACACGGCAGTCTGATCCCAAACAGGCTCTGCCTATACTGTTATAGCCAGTCTGCTGATAAACATACTTAAATATCCATATTTCCATTCTTTCATACTTGTATTAAAAATGTGAAAGTCAGTTTGTTTGTTACGCTTTCATCACTAAACCATTAAACAGATTTTCTAACACGAATTCACCACTTTACTACACTACACTAACTACTAGCTACATTATCAGAGAGTATCAGAGGCTAATTTTTACCACTATCACCGACAAACACGCGGGTGGAGCCGCTGGCAAAAGCTCCAGCTCTTAATTACATCCAGACATAGAACAAATTATCGTGCTCATCATCGTCATCATCAACAGCCCTTAACAGTCCAGCTGGACATAGGCTTCTCCATACAATGGAGGTTTTTTGCCTTCTATAAAAAACTGGCCAGACGGGTTGGTATAGGGTTTGTTTCAAGTCTACCTTCTTTTTTCAGTGCTGTTACGACACCCACGGGAGAAATATGAGTGGTAACAATCTGTATTATTAATGCGTCACCACACGGACGTGTGCTCATGACACAATTATTTGCCCTGGGTTAGAATTGAACCCACGACCTCTGGCTTGACAGTCAGGGTCACTAACCACTACACCAAAAGGCCCGTCAAAAAAAGTCAAATATTAAAAGTAAAAGATGTTAAAGACAGCACACGCGTAGAGTAATATCGGTTTATACAAATAAACTCACAAAGAGTAGCACATGTAAATAAAGTGTGATTATGGCGTCTTGTATTCGCGACAGCTGTCACCACAAATGGAACTCTACGTTAATAAATATGACATTTCCTTCGTCACACGCTGATAATATATCACTTACTAAAAGGACGATCATTATATTACATAATAGTATGTCTAAAACAAATTTCAATTAATACTCTAAGTATTTTGAAAAACAATGTCGCCAATTTTCGATAATGATGCTAATTCTGTTGTTCGAAAACTCTCTAAACTAAACTAAAAATCACAAAAAAAAACGTTTGGTCCTGTCAAGTACTACGTTTTCAGAATACTAAACGTTGTTTGACAGGACTAAACAATTTTTAGTGATTTTTAGTTTAGTTTAGAGAGTTTTCGAACAACAGAATTAGCATCATTATGTTAAAGGTTAAGTTAAAGGTAACTTTGCAAGTAGGTATTGTTAAGAAGCGTTACTGTAGGATAGTGGTACTAATCATTTCCCGCAGTCTTACTACTTCTACTTCTAAAACTGATAGCGTGATGTTACATAGCCTATAACATTTCTAAATGAATATAATTTTCACAGTTATATATTGCGCAAGATTAGCACATAAAACAAACAAATTAAGACACTTTTCATCTGTTTCATATTAGTATAGAGTATAAACACCAGTACGTCTATAATAAATGGTTTCTAAGCAGTAAATCAATGTTATTGCTTTGTAGAAATCAGAACATACGACGTATATCCTACGAAATATTATTTCGTTCTATTCAATAACAATTTGAAAACAAAAAGATTACTAAGTAAAACTAGCCACTAACAAACAGCCTTGCAGCTATTTAAAAATAAACCGAAGGTCCCTGCCATCTTGAAAAGGGGAGCGAACAGTCGATATCAAGCCTCTGTTATACATCGTAGTGATATATAAACTGTCTTTGTTCTGAACTCAAATAAAACTAGAATGCCACACACACTGCGCATTCAATACGCAACTATAACTACAGGAATTACAAGCTATTCTAAGTTTAGATCTAGAAATCGCAGTTATGAACCTGAATATTATTATTGTAACATGTCAAGGCCATATAGCTACACCAAATGCAGGATGGATATACGGTGATGTGGCTATTTCTTGGACATCTCAATACTGAGATTGCCCATCTGACTCTTGGAAATAGAATATATTCTAAGGATTATATTATCAAAGACAGCTAACTAACGTAATAAGAGAAATCAATTAAAACTCTTACTACACACAGCGATGCCCCGAAATAAAATAGAAAATAGAAAAAATAGAAATAGGAAGAATTGGTTTTATTAGCGCCTTCTGTTTCAAGGTATTTTTTTCTTTTGTAATAGCATAACCAATACGATCAAATCATTAAGGCCCCAACGTATTCAATCAGCGCAATCCCGTGGATTAATATATGTTTTGTACATGTAATTCAAAATCAACATGTCTTATACCGAACCATTAGATGTCGCAACCAACATTTCGCGGTAGAAACTTCATCCTTCGTGTTTTGGGAGAGAGAAAACCCGTCATCAGATTCATTTTATAATTCAAACGTAGATAATGCTAGACTAAATTTATATACTCATGTTTTAGCATATAAATCTTATTCAAAACCTGACAGTAACCATTTATGAAGCAAAATGAAAAATGAGTTAGGGTCTGAAAATGTCCAGTACAGTTACTACGTTTGTAACGAAATACATTAATCTTATGTTTAAAGTTATAAATTTATTTAAGCAACTTACTTATTTATGGAGAAAAGACTAAATAAATCAAATTTTCAACTCCAAATAAAACACAGATAAAAATCAATGGATTGGTTTTAAGTTAAGTGTCTCCACAGAGTATGGGTACAGTCTCAGTCTAGTACTGCACAGTTCGAAACCGAACATTAGAAACCCTTTCTTTCTCCCAGAAGCTCTGAAATCATTAATTAAATAACTCTAAACGTACCCGTTAACCAAGTGTTGTATAAGGAGAGGTTTTACCTTAGCAGGATTACTTGTTTTAAATACTAACCTTTATAAGTCCAATAGAAGAGTCAGCGCGCTCAAGGCTGCAGATGCTGAACTGGATTGAAGGTAGGTCGAGACGATGCGACAGTTGTCTTTGGAAGGTCTGATGACGCGTCGGCACTATAGGCAACGTCGTTTGACGAAGAACCTGTAAATAAAATCATAATTAAAATCTAGTAACACACTGAAATCTTAATCTTTACATAAATCTCTATGTATCTTTTCCTACACTATCGCAATTAAATTTCAGTTCCAAATCTTCAGAAAAATACTTTAAATAGTTACTTTTGTGTCATGGGAAAAAAAACTACTGAAATACGAATTAAATAGTAAAACTTAAGCCTTATACAATTAAAGCAAATAGCAACAGTTGATTCAACGTTAATTCAACACTTCACAGCTAGATAAACACATCTACGGAGTACGTTCAATTTAAATCGAATGTGTATCTTATCACTAAGGGCGTGGACGCTGTTCACAGTGATATCAGCGTAGTTTTTGCGTATTCCGTTTTCCGTGAAGTGCAGAGTGGCACACGTCTTTCGTAGATATTATTTCGTTCTTGTAATTAAGAAATAACACGGACACACTACATACAAGTTTAATCAAAGAGGCTGTTAACACTCGAACGTAATTCACTAGAGCTCCGAATTAACCTTCACCTATCAGTTGTAGAACAGACTTCAGACGTAGGGTGTTTTCAGCGAACAGTTCATCGATGATGGTTAATTCGGCATTCAATTTTGAGTTAGTTTAGTATTCGACTTAGTTCAGGAGTTCAATTAAAAAATCGACTGTGAATGAAAGTAGAGATTTTATATCCAACCCCTATATACGTATGGATTAATGTGTAAGGTCCACGATTTTCTTGAATTTTTTTCGGTGCCTCCGAGCACGTTAAGCCGTAGGTCCCGATTGCCATAAGAACCTCTGTGGCAATCGTTACGAATAGTTGGAGCCCTAAAAAGTCCGACAAGAGTCTTTCTGCAGAACATCGATATCTCCTAGTATTTGGGATGTTATAGTTTGATGTGATGTGATAGTCTGATACTTTAAAAAAAGGTTTTATCAATCCTTTCTAGAATCAATTGCACGTCGGACCGGTTCGAATCTTTTTTGTTAAATCTCTTTTTAATATACGTAAATACTAGACTTTGGCAGCTGCTTTGCTTGCTTTAATATAGATCTTGTTAATAAAATTAGATATTTGCCGCCTTACATTTAAGTAAAAAGTACGCAAACTTCTTCGGAATGAGTTGGCAGAACAATCACAACGCTAGTACCTGACTGTGTATTTATTGTGTATACTTCTGGACTTACATATTAATATCATAATATATGTACTACCAAAATTTATATATTTTTGTTATATCTAATGTAGGCTTATTTTTATTTACCATACTATGAACTATGAAAATATTTGATATTTTATCTTTGCACCTACCGCATCATATTTCTACTTCACCTGAAGGTCGACTGGGAGAGAATGCCTGATGGCAATAAGTCCACAACACGTGCATTAAGTTTAAATAAATAAATATATCTCAGGACACTGCCTTTTTGAAGAAAAAAGTAACCTATATCCTTTTCCTGATAACATCTCATCACATCATCACATCAACAGCCTTTAATGGTCCACTGCTGAACATAGACCTCTCCTTAGAAAGGAGGTTTTGGCCCACTATACCACGCTGGCCAGACGGGTTGGTATAGGGTTTGTGTCAAGTTTTCCTTCCCTCTGCTTCCTTCCTGATAACGTGTAATATAAATTTTACCGCAATCAGTTGAGTAATTTGAACATACAAGCATAACAAACGTAAAAGCAAATAAACTCAGCTTCAGTTGCATATTTGAGACGTTAAAACTTTACCAGCAGCAGCTTAATTAAGTGACTTCAGATATTACCAGTGACACTTTAGTAGCTATAAAGTAGTAGATTTCAATATTAGATTCTGCTTAAAATAAGCTTTAATCGATAAGTCGTTACAGTGTGAAAACCCATAATGTACCTTATGGAGTTAACAACAACGTCTAAAATGTGGTTTTAATGTTTTTCTTTATTTTTATAAATTACATTAGTTTTTTGGAACGTTTTATTTATCTAAATATATTAAAATCTAAGGTTGGTTTGTGCACGCTTCAAAAACTCAAAAACATTGACCTATTGAGCTCAAATTTGTACACAATATACAACCCACTTCAAATATTATTTTAATCTAATCTCTCATCAATGTGCCAGGGTGAAGGGTGAAGCACCAGGGACTTCCTTTCTAGGGTATACCTGGTTCCCCGGCTATTAGTACCCGAGACGGCGTGCGGTTTTAGTCGGTTCGAGTCCGACATGCCACCGACAGGTGGAATCCGAGGGGATTTCCGCACGGAAAAAAAAAAAAGGGTAAAGGGTGAAGATGTCATTTATTATGACTTATTATATTCGCCCGCGGCTCCACCATTGGTTTTAGGTTTTCTTAAGTAATATAATTAGTGGTTTAGGTGTTAAAGCGTGACAAGCAAACAAACTCACTTTCACATCCATGCAAATAAATAAAATTGAAGTGTCTATTTGTAATATTAAAATATTAGATTCCTTCCTTGCTCACACGGTTATTTGCACGATACCTATACCTAATACCCAGTTTAAAATGTTTTGTCTGTCTGCCTGTTTGTCCGGAACAAAGAGACAGACAAACAAAAACATTTGTAATCATCGAAATGGCTGGACCGATTTTGATAATATTTCACTACCGAGTAGCTGTATATAAGTTACTCTATATAAGGAGTAACTTAGGCTATTTTTGCTCTCAGAAAACTCCTTTAAAATTTTGCTCGGTCCGGAAATCGAACGCACTAAGGCAGCGCTTTTCAAATTCCATGCGTACGATTCAATTCATAATATACATAAGTATGGATGAGAATATGCCTAATGTATACCACTACGTAGCTATGGCTAAGGTTAAAGATATTATTTAGATGGGATTGGCGGATTACCCACCCATTTTCTTTTGCGTGCTAATTTGCGGCTACCAACTTTAAAGTAATTCATCTGTATATAAGACTGTGTTTCCTTTGATGGAAACGGTTAACAGCTGTATTTATTATCAGCTGCGGTTTCTAGAACATTGTTAAACATTACATAAATATAGTACAAATATGTCTAAGTGCTGGAATGTTCTGCTTAATTTGTAAATTCAAACGGTTTTCTTACAAATTACATCAATTCTTAGTAACTATGTATGAACGTTTATTAAATGATATGTATTAAATGAATACTGTTTAACTTTTATATGATCTTAAACTGAAAGGTAAACACACAAAACGTTTGAGAGAATCAAGAACGTATTTTCATCATCATAAATAAATACAGTCACTTTATGTGTTGCCATCTACACAGAAAAAAAAAAAATACTTATATTTCTATCTTAAAAAGCTTACAGTGTTCTTAAAAACCATTAGCTCTTATTTTAAAAGCATTATAAAAATGTTTAACAATACCGATTCAGTGGGTTTTGTAAAAATCATGGATGCGTGTGCACGTATCCCAAAATGTTACGCTAAATATAGATCTATAGGTTTTTTAACTTCTTTTGTACATGTGAGAACAAAGGCATTAACACGTTATCTTTTTAACCACAAAGAATCCTTCATAAAGATTATATCAATGTATTTCTAATACCAGACATATCTATTGTTTGTTAGCTTATTTTGATCATTACTTTTTAATTAAATAAGTTACATACTAAGGAGGAACGGGTGTTATGGCGTCCAAAACACAAAGTGTGGATCCCACGACCAGCCACTGTGGTCAGACCTGGCGGGCTGTGGCCCAATAAGCTTTGACACAGCCGCGAGAACTTTCATTAGTAGTAGTACCACAAAATAGTTACTATGAAGTTGGATGTGTTCATCGTTAGAAGTATGTAGCAGTCACCACACATAATAATAATGGTTGATATGCCCCAAAAGCAAAACGTTGTAAGAACTGCGCACTTTCCAAAGTTCACTAAGGCAATCTGCATGTATAAGAGCCATCTATAATATTCTTGACTATTGTTACTCAGCAGATTTACACCACGCTACTCGGTGGCCTATATTGTCGAGTCTCTCACATATTAAGAGGACAACTTCTATGCAAATCTGATGTGGATACCTTTAGATGGTGTAAAAATCTATTGCCAACTCCACTCCTTCCTGATGAGTATTTTTAGAGGCTATTTTTCGAAAGTACCACAGGTCATGTTTTACAAAAGATAAAAACACCTTGCCACCATTGCTCGCACGCACATTTGAACTTTTTCCAACAGCAGCAAAAGATTATCGTATTTTTATTTGTTACTGCAAAATGTTTTAAAACAGCACATACGTTTTGATACCATGATCAAAAATACACAAAATTCAATACAATGCATTGGCACAATGATTTAAACTAATTTATCTTACTAATTAGAAAACAAGTTCCACATACGCAAGCTCACGGCTTAAAATATTAGAGGAAAGTTATTTTCTTTGTGAGGAGCAAGCTTTGTGTCCACTACAGATTCTTGGATAATATCGTGTTCATTTTCAGGAACAAAATGCGCTTGAGAGAGTACGAGTCTAATACTTGAGGGCTTTTAACGAACCGACAGAAAATGCTTAAGACTTTTTATATTTACCTACTCATATAGTTTTGTGTTGTGAATTTGATAACAATTGAAGTACAACTGGTATTAAAAGGTATTTATTAACATAAAACCGCACTATCTTTGTTGCTGTACATCTAGCGCAACATTTAATGTACCCATTCTTAGATAGTCGTAACTAATATTGTAAATGATATGATATAATTTTTTTAATTAAGATATGATATAATTGTTATAATTTGTTTATTTAAGATAAAATTTGTTTATTTAAGATTAAGTACCAAAAGGATCATCATAGAATATTGCGTACACATCCAGTAATTTCGTAGATACTAATTGATACTGAATTGACTGCACGGATTGCGTAGTGATTTAAGTGGTCGCCACGCCGCTCACTACTACGCTGAGTGTTGTGGGTTCGATCCTTGCATGGGACGACGCTTTGTGTGAACCACAAATTGTCGTTCTGAGACTGGGTGTTCTTTGTCTCCTTTTAATGTATGTTTGTAAAGTTCCCTACGGCACAGGA